ATATTAATAGAAAGGTGCACACACATGCATTTACATATGTATGTACATACAAACGAGCACCAATTAATTTTATTTAAAGAAATGGCGTGTCGTCTATTTCCGGTGTAGCAAACCTAGTACATAGGGCGACATCTAGATGTCATCTACCTCGCCCTATGCTTTTTTATAGGAGCTTTTCAAAGCTTTGCTTTATGGTGTCGGACACACAACATTGAAAGTTTCTGGAACACAACATTGCAAGTTGATAAAAGCGTTGTAAAAAAGGGAAGAGAATAACGCGGAAAAAACAATGAACGAATGGCAACAAGCTATCCATGAGGATACACAAAACAGAAATCCTAGTAATCTCGCATACCCCACTACCTTTATTTCACACTTCCAAAAACAAGAGAACATTATCAATAAAATGAACACAAATATTACTAACTATTTAACGAATAACCCAATCAACAACACAGATAGAACACAATTCGAAATGCTGACAAAACTATTAGATGGCATAAAACAGATGAACGTAAATACGGACTTATGGAAAATCAATACCAACATAACATGAAAATTCTACAGTACAATATACAAAGCTTAAAGAAAATCAACAATAAAAATCTGCTCGAAATTACACTATCTAACAAAAACATAGACATAGCGATCCTTAGTGAAATATGGATTAAAAATAACAGTTTGACTTCATTAAAAGAATATAACTTTGTGGGAAAATTCAGAGATGACGGTTACGGTGGAGCTGGGATATACATACGTAAGAATATAAAATTTTCTATAATTAACTACAACACGATGGCGGATATAATAGGAATAACTACCCTTAATTTAAAAACTAACTTTAACCTATTTAGTGTATACTACCCCCCGGATATGACGAACACAGAACTAAAAAATGAAACTGGAAAATTACTAAATTTCGCTAAAAACTTAAATTACAACACAATTATCGGAGGCGATTTCAATAGCAAATCGACCACATGGGGAAGTGTTTCAACAGACGCAAAAGGCGCAAGTCTGGAAAGTCTAACTACAGATTTCGGTTTCTATTGTATAAATGATGGAAGCCCTACATATCGCCTCAATGATTACACCTCACATATGGATATCACATTCTGCAACAGAAATATGATAAATATAAACTGGAAAGCAATTACGTCTAAAATTACAAAAAGCAACCATTACCCTATTATAATAGAACTGAACCAAGAATACAAGATAAAACAAAACGTAAAAATTAAATTCCTAAACAATAAAATCAATGCAGAAATCTCTAAAACAAAAATCGGAAATAGCTTAATGGAAGTAAACAAAACATTTCAAAACATAACCAAAAATAACACCATAACTATTAATGAAAATAACAAATACCAACCAAAAAAATGGTGGAATAATGAAATTGACAAATTATACAGACTAAGAAACAATGCAAGAGCGAAATATGAAAAGGCAAGATCAGTAACAAACCTTAACATCCTGACTGATATGCAAACAAAATTAAATGCAGAAATAACCAAACAAAAAAAAAAGAAAGTTTCAATCAATTACTGGATGAGGTATCATCTACACCAGACACAAAAACAATGTGGAAAAAATTAATAGTCTAAAGAAATATCGATGTATTAAACGCACAAACAACAACTGGACTCAGGAACAGAAAGAACACTACCTTAAACACATAACTAATCATTCATCAGCATTGAAGCCCTAGCCCGACTAATACTAACTTCGACAACAGAATAGATGGGAAAATCACATACAGGAAATGACTTAGAAAATTTTAAAACCTTTTTAAAAAACCGCAATCCAGATTTCGCAAAAGGACTGGATGGTATCTCCTACAGAATGCTAAACAACCTACAGGAAGAAGAAAAAGAAAAATTATTTCAGATCCTAACTAGCATTTGGAGCAAAGCGGAAATACCGGAACAATGGCGTCACATAAAAATAATACCAATACTAAAACCCGGCAAAGACGGCTACACAGAGAATTATAGGCCAATAGCACTACTTTCGACAGTTTATAAAATCATGGAAGGAATGATAAAACTCCAGTTAGACCGACAAACAGAATTACACGATCATTTACCACCAAGAACATATGCATTCCGTAAAAGAAGATCCACCTCACAATGCATAAATGATGTCATCAACTCGGTACTCCATGCAAAAAGTCTCGGCAAACACGTTGTAGGAGCATGTGTAGATCTGGAAAAAGCATATGACAACATCAACATTGACAAATTGGCGAACAAACTTACAGACCTACAAATCCCACAAGCAATTATTAACTGGATTAGCAATTTTCTCAATAGAAGAATACTACATCTTGATGAAAAGACGATTGAGATCAAAAGGACTAATGCAAGGAAGCGGTATAAGCCCAATACTCTTCAACTTGTATACAGCCGAACTCACTCCATAGGTCATGAAATACCATGTTAGTTCCAGTTTGCTGATGATTTTTTTTGATCTCAACCAGCAACTCATTCGACATAGCAACAATACAACTCAAAACTAAATTAGATGAGTTTACATCAATATGTACTAGATTAGACCTAAAAATTAATGTGCGTAAAAGCAACACAATACACTTCAACAATAGAAAGCAATCACTGAATATTCAAATTAATAATATAGCACTGCAACAAGTAGACACAATAAAATATCTAGGCAGATACATCACCAAAAACAACTCTTCAAACCTGCATGTAAAAGAAATCACGGATAAAATCGACCAGAAGTGTAACTTCCTTAAAACTTTGAGTGGCTGTACATTTGGAATCTCATCAGCTAGAGCGCTACAGTTTTATAAGTCCTTTGCAAGATCCAAATTGGAATACGCGGCATCATCCTTTTCCAATGTGTCCAAAATTGCACTGTCAAAACTCAAAACCTGTAATAACAAACATATAAGAAGATGCTTAGGATTAATAAAGTCAACACCAGTACATATTCTATACCACATGGCAGCAGAATTACCAACCGAATACAGACTCCGACTAGCTACTGCAAAAGAAATTATTAAGACCTGTGCCTTCCAACTACCTGCTGCGAACTTATTGCTTAACCAGAATAGATACTACAACACTAGTTATACACAAATATTTAATGAGTATGAAGATGTTATGAGAAATATCACACCAATCTCCGAAGAGTCCATAAAAACTAACAAAATTCACGTTTATACTAAGTTCTTCAAAAACATAGTCAAAAATAAAAAAGAAGCGAATGACATCTTGATACATCAACTGTTCAACAGGAAAATTGAATATTTAAAGTCCAGACAAATGGAGTTAATATATACAGATGGATCCTGCAAGGAAAACTGTACGCAAGCTGCCTTTTTCCACGAAAGAACCAACACCTCCCAAGCCTTTTATACCAGCAAGAGAATGGCAGCTATGACTGCAGAACTATGGGCATTCAAGAAGGCAATAGAGTTTGCTATAATCCACAACTATCCAAACCTAGCAATACTAACTGACAGCAAATCCGGAGCAATCGCCTTAACCAATCCGGACGCAAACAACAGTTTAATCAAAGAAATCTTGCACACAATAAAGAACAGCAACATAAACAGCGTAGAAATTCATTTCATCCCCGGGCACAGTAAAATACACCAAAATGAAGTGGTAGATTATGCGGCTAGAAATGCAGAAATCAATGGCATACAGGAGACACTTGGATGGACGGTATCAGACGCTATAAAAGAAATTGAAAGAAGATTAAAAACAAAATGGCAAGAAGAATACACTAATACTAGCCAAAACAAGGGGAAAACATACTTCGAAATGTTTCCAAATATACTTACGAAACCATGGTACCATAAAAACAAATTGGAATTAAACGATGTACAAACAAGAATGATCAGCAGAATATTAACGGGACACACGTTTGGCAAAGACACCATGAAGAGACTGAAGATAATCGATGATGACCAATGTGACTACTGCTCCTGCTCAGAAGATATCACACATATTGTATACATATGCCCACAATGGGACTCAATTAGAATCCATTTCCCATCACTCAATAAATTCAATTCACTACCGCAAATGTTTAAACAAGAGGGAATAAAATCACTGAAAACCATAAGCACATTCTTAACCCAATTAAAAATAAAAATTTGAAAGCAGACCACAAAACACAAGCATCAAAACAGGAATACAACTAATATGAGGAGAACCACAAAGCACTTTGATCACAGTTTACAAACACTCATCAAATTAACCACATATTCACGTTGATCTGGCAACTCCAATTAGATACACCAAAATTCATACATACAAACTACATTCTACATCTATAAATTATTAATAGTATAAAAACCCTTAAAAGAAAGCACTTCAAGTGCAAAATTGGTGATGGCGCTGTAATTCTTAGAACGGGCCAAATAATTCTCTCCTACCAATAAGAAGGGAACGAGAGTAACTTAAACCCTCAAAAAAAAAAAAAAAAAAAAAAATGTACATTCTAAATTCCTACTTACATAAGGCGGCCATGCCTTTGTAAAAGTAAGGGACGTTCGGCAGGGAAATGGTAATGACTGCCAGGTGAAGAGTAAGTTGCTAATAAGGTATTATTACGTGCTCCTAATTCCCACTGGGTATGTATGTATAAAATCCTCATGGACAAAGAAAAAAATAATTTTGTGTATATGTACAAGTTTACTTACGTTAAAGTATTCAACCCCAGTTAATTCATGTAGTTTTTCTACCGACAAGTATTGTGGAGGATTCCTATGATGTTCCAAACGCTGGTCGTTTTGTTCGTTATCCATATACCACACCTTAACCATTATTAGGGATGAAACTAGAGATGTGCTGAATTGTTGGTACTCAAAAATCGGATCCAATACTCATATATGTAATAGTCCTATATTGGCAGTAAGAGCTAGTAGCGTCCGAAAACACTACAGTGCAGATATTATCAATAAACACGTACGAAAGAAAAGGAACACACACATTTATAAATAAACATGTACACAACACATATACAAAAGCGGCACTCAAGTACACAATACATTGACAAAAACAGTACTAGACTGTCTCGCTTTGATTTCGGAATGCTTACAGCCGGTCCACATAGAATTTTCGCGTTGCCTTTAGCGTTGGCGTTGGTTTGACAGAACGCACGTTTAAAGTATGTTTGCTACAATGAACGCCTGGCAGCGAATGCTTGGGCCACTTAATTAACACACTAACGACAGATAAATTAATATTTCATATCAGTAATTGTATTAAAAACGATATTTCTTGCCGGCACTTGATTAAAAGGGAAAAATATTTCACATAATTTTATTTATTTGCGACAGCTGACGAGCAACGCACGCGAAAAGTTGAGAGTTGGCCATCATTTTGCTTTGTGTTGGCGTGAGCGTTGTCGGATTTCGGTTATGTGGACGGCTGCATTTGAATTCATGTATTCATACTCACCTGTTGAAGCGACGCCAACGCCAATGCAACGCCAAAGTTCTATGTGGACGGGCCTTTACACATTGAGATGTTAGCTTACTATCAATATACTATAGTATTACATATATGCCAATACTTAAAACAATTTCGATACCCAGTTCCAGTGATCGGACCGTCACCACATTGTGATAGATAATGCCCTTTTTTTGCATCTACCACTCAAGGTCTGAAATCTACCACATTTTCGCGCTTTTGGGAACAAATGCAGTTGAGCTCTAAATCTCAAAAAAAATAAAAAATATTGGAATCGATAGAGATGATTGAGCTGAGTATAACGGTGTACTTCTTTTTTTGGGCAAACAACAACAAAAATTATCAAAGGTTAAAGTTCAAAATAAGCAATTTTTGAAAACAAAACTTCTTAAAAACGGATGGATGGATCTATTCATTTGTTTTTGAGAAATTTTGATTTCAAAAATTGCTTATTTTGAACTTTAACCTTTGATAATTCTTGTAGTTGTTGTTTGCCCAAAAAAACAAGTATACCGTTATACTCAGCTCAATCATCTCTATCGATTCCAATATTTTTTTTTTTTAATTTGAGATTTGGAGCCCAACTGCATTTATGCCCGTTTTTGAATAGTTTTATTTTTGCTTGATATAATTTTATTAATTTTAAGAGCAAAAATTGTCTAACACTAAACACTATATGGTATGATATAATACAAGATTCCCCATTCCCGGCGACGATGAAATTTCTCAAATAAAAGTAAACAAAGCCGTATGGAAGGATAAAATAAACTGTAAAATAGTAAATTTTCTGAGTAATAAATTTTTCGACAGAAAACGTGGTTTTATTGTATTAAATTGCAAAATATATGATTTATAAAAATTATTAATAGCTACAATTAAAAAAACGGCATTTTTTGTGAAAGTATTAGCAAATTTAAGTGCATCCAAAGTTTCTGAAGCGTTGTTGTTGTTGTTGTAGCGGCTACAACAACCCCGCCCAGGTCGGTTGGTATCTCAGTCGTTGTCGTCAAGATCCACTAACGGCAGCCCTAGGAAGCGTGCTGCTTCTACGGGATTGGTCCACAGGGACAAGGCCGTTAGGGTTGTCGGGTTTTTCGGGCATGCGAAGAGATGTTTCGAGTCATGTGGGGTCTCTCCGCATGCCGGACACTCATTTGTCACATCCCCATTCAATCTACACAGGTAGGAGTTTAACCTGCTGCAGTAGCCGGAGCGAAGTTGTGCTAGTGTAGTTCGCGTCTCCGGGGGCGTCTGTGTCCGGGGGCGGTATGCCTAGAACGGCATTCACAGGTCTAGAGTCTACATAACTCGAGACTGACTCCCTGTGAATGCCGTTCAGGGCCAGTCGGTAAGCTGTGGGTCCAGAGGTTGCTTGATGAACCTCTGGACTTCGTCCGTCAGTTCATATAGATCCTCCTGACGTGCCTAGGCGAGGGCTCCTCGCAGCAGCTGTCTGTTTGGTGCCACTTCTGTGCTCCCACCAGGAACTGCTTGCAGAGCATGATGTTGTGCTCTTTACGGGGAGCATTTGCGCCTCGCCGTGAAGATGGTGTTCGGGCGACATCAGGAGGCATCCTGTCGCTGTCCTGAGTGCGGTGTTCTTGTGCAGTCTGTAGCTTGCGTCCACTGCGTCCTATCTAGTCCCCGGCGACCGACACTGGCG